TTATTTAATTATTTCCGAAAATATTAAAGATAGCCATTTTGTAGAGTTTATTTTTCTGAAAATATTGACGTTTCAAAATGTTATTTTCATTAATTTCCTGATTTTTAATATTTTTTCTAGTTTTGAAGAAATAGAATATGATTATAATTTATGACTATGTATTAGGAACACGGAAGGTATTTGACCGGCCGTATGAAAATGCCTGMGGCGCGGCGGGTCACATGTTTGATAACATTAYGGTGTTATAATTAATAATTCACAATTTTTCTCGAAACTAAAAAAAAATATTAAAAATCAGGAAATTAATGAAAATAAAATTTTGAAACATCAATATCTTCAGAAAAATGAACTCTACAAAATGGCTATCTTTAATTTTTTTGGAAGTAATTAAATAAAAAAATATATTTTTTAACTTTATTACCAAAACGTTAAAATCAATTAAAATATGAAATAATTGTAGTTCTATGGTTAGATCTATGTAGATCCCTGTGAGGCTTATTACAAAACCAGAATTTCGATATCACCATTATTTCGGGAGATATTGCAATGGGTAAATCATAGAGTATTATTATATTACTCTATGGGGTAAATCCTCAGGGGACATTCTGTATGTTAAAGACTTAAAGAAGGTAGTCAGAAAAAAAAGCCAGGRAAAAAAATCCAAGGAAAAAAAACCCACAGAATAAAAAGCCATGGGAATAATATTAGCCACGGAAAAAAAGTCAAACTACAATAATTAAATATACCTATAACAATTAAAATTAAACTATTAAATTATATAGATATTATTTAACAATTGTTTACACATTATTGGTCAAATATATAAAAAATAAAGATAATTAAATATACGAAAAAATAAAATTTAAAGTATTATTCAAAATTGTTAAACATTGGTCATATTATATATATATATATATAATTAAAATACACAGGTTATATGTTAATTAATTTAAAATTTTTAAATAAAAATAAAATTGTTAATATTATAAATTATAATATACATTAATTAATAAAAATAATATAATATTTTGTGGATATTATCTTGAAATCAATTGATTTATGTCTTACACCCTAGATATGTATAAGTATAATGTATATACTTTGTACAGGCCACAGGGTGATTCTTTTTTAAATGTACATGTTGCAGTATGAAATACCTACATGCT